CCATTTTCGCTATTTTTTCTTAAGCTATAAAAACAATAAATAATAAATAAAATAACAAAACAAACAATAAACACCCCTATAAGAACGGATTGCCCGATATGGCAAACTGGCGGAAGTGTCTATCCAGAATATGTCAGTATTAGAAAAGTTTAATTAGTCAGGGACTCATAAAACTTAAAACAGACTATACTGGTTTGTAAATATACATGTTAAAAACCGTTGATGGGTTCCAAATTTCGAACTCAACATAAACAAAGATCGCTCTATTACCATTATCACGTAAACACTTCAGACGGTTACGTTTACAATTTAGTTTTAAGTATTTTCACATTTGTGTAAACACATGGCACGTTGTAAGTTTATATGTACTTATGAAAGAGTATTTAAGTGTGTTCGGGGCACATTTGGCGTAATAAAAGCATTATGTGGCTAATTTAACGACTGGCAATATAAAACGGGATTAATTCGATCACTTTTCGAATTCTACACCTAACATGCGTGGTCGTGTTGATTCAATCGCCGTTTTATGTCTTCCTTTGTATCAGCATCGCCGTTTTATGTGATTTGTCTGGCTGATGGCATACCGTATCTAAATTCGAACTTTAAAGCAAAAAAAAACACACAAAATATTCAAATGAAGAAGAACATTTTAATTCAATGGAAAGATTAAACCTTGCCATTATACGTGAAAAACAATATCATTTAAATGCCCTCCACGGGATCTGTAATAAAAGACGTGAGGAAATTCTGTCTTTTTTAAAGACAAACATTTTTGAGGCGAAATACCCAAAAAGAAGTTTGTAAAAAAATGAATCCGCCCCAACAATATAGAACTTATCTACTCATAAACCTTTTTATAAACTTGCCTTAATTTTTGTCACTAAAAGCCAAATAAAAATAACTCACTAAGGAAATGTGGTAAATAAGGGTGACCTCACAGGTTAGTAGCAGTATTTTTATTCGAATGAAAGACATAACACGAACCATAAGTTATAATAAAGAAAAATACCCAAAAAATAAAGGGCCCCAACTTCATATTTAAAATTTGATGTTAATGCCCTTTTTGATGTTGAAAAGTTCTTAGAAAGTGTCGACACCCGAGATGATGTCGATTAATAATAATCGATGGTTATTCACGGAAAAAAATTGAAAAATTTCTCAATCTGTCAAACTGACATTGATCAATTGAATTACGACGCCAATCGGTTTGTGATGGGAAAGTTGATACGCGTGGGGGAAAAATTTTGACAGCCGTCAAATGGTTTCGCTGGCAACCAAAAAAAGGGATTTTTGACAGGAGAATACCGTGTACCGTACAGTGACAGTTGTCAACATTGACACATCTGGCAGTGAGATTGGCTATGAAATCGAAATCGACGTGGAACATTTGCCAATTTCCAAGTGTGATAGTTTCCAAGAAAGTTTCCATAGCAACGGTGTCGCTAAGGGAATTTTTCATATTTTTCAACTGAAAAAAATCGACACAAACGTCAAGTTGCGGAGCATTGAAATTGTGATCAATCGATCCGAAGCCCAATGAGTTGGTGGCGAGGGTGGTTAAACAAAATGTGGAGGAAAAATGTTGACAGCTGTCAAAAACTGACATTATACATGAAAACTGCATAAAAAATTTGCGAAAAAATGCACCCTGATGGAAAAATGCTTACCAAAAATCGAAATATGGCACAATCGTTGTAAAATTGATACCAAACGATTGAAAAAAGTGTGACGCAACGACTCAAGTTATCCGTAGCTAAGTCAGCTACATGTTTCGAGCAAAGTGGCACATGGTTGGGTGACTATGGCAACCAAACAAACAGCAGATTGTAGCCGATCCGAAATAATGCAAATGTCATCACTCGACATTTGCTCGAAATGTCAACAAGAATGACGCTAGAGTGCTCGATAGGTTACCTACCCGATTGACATGACGATGGAAAATAACTTGTGAAAATTCGAAACATGAACCGATTTGCAAACTGACAACACTGTTCGAAAGCCAAGGTATTGGTGTATCGACACCGTTAGAGAGTTGATTGAGAAAAAAATGCCTGCTATCAAATTTGAGCGAAACATTGCATGATCAGAAATTTTTCCACTCAAAAGTAAGGTTATCGAAAACTTTGTTGAATGACCTTGAAAATCTCAACAAACAGACATGTAAGCATGCCAAGTCCATGTCGAAATTATGAGTTCGATCGATACCGTACCGAACGTACCGGCACGATTCTACTAAAAGGCTGCACAAACGTGTTTGGTGGTTTTCAGCATTTTCAAATTTTTTCCAAAGTTATTTACGGACCAATCGGCAAAGTGTCAACACCAATCGATGGTCTAAAGATCCAGTAATCGATCTGTCGAACAGATATGTCAAAAATGTAAACAGTCCGAATGTCACCGCGATGGAAAGTGGTGATTGTCATTTTATCGATAAAGACAATGTTGTGCAAACAGCGCCATCTACGATCATGGTATCTGCCCACGATTGTAGCCCCGGATCATACTATGTTGTATGTAAAATTCCCATCTCTCCACATCAAACGGTTTGAACGGGGGAATTTTTTGAAAATTTCCACCCAAAATCAGAAAAAAAATTCTACATTTGAGGTTAGAAAGAAAATATTGACATATTATGCATATTTGGAATATTTGGACACCATTGTCAATGATGTGTCAATGAAAAATGTCAAAATTGACAGTTGACGTTTATTTGACATACATCATCCATAAATATGGTCCGTCAGATGACAACTGTGAAATGTGAATGATCTGTGACTGTTCGTGTCGAAGAACAACGATAAAAATCGTTTTTCCGAAACTCTGAAATGTCAGTGTCAAAGCAAACGTCACTGTTGGAAAGACTGTTCTTTCAGTCAATTTTACTGGTAACTTTCAAATCGATTGATCTTTCGGTTACGATCCTATAAATAAAGAATGTCGAAATGTCGATTTTGCATCGATTGCTTTTCGAATTTTCATCAGACAAACGATAAGTTTGAGTGAGGTTATGGTCATTACATAATTTGACATAATTAATTTCCATAATTATAATTTCCAAATTGTAAGTAACCTTTAAATTATGATCAATAGGTGTCGATAAATCTACGTAATTAATTAAAAAACAGGTCGTTTACTTTTTAATGAAAATACTTAGAAAAATATATAGAAGCAGTGACAGGTTCAATTTGTCTCATTTACTTTTGTGCACATGTGCGTAAAAGTAAGGCAAATGAACAGTAGAGAAAAGTGCTTCTTTTTGATCATCGCTTCTGCCTGAAAAAAGTCGGTTTTTGATTCATTCGAATAAAAAATTAATTATTGTATGCCACATAATCAAGATGTGTACTTAATAAGAGCTTGCAGCTTCACAAACAAGCAGTTCCCCAACCCTATTCGGAATAATGATGAAAAAATATCTAGTAGCATGAACTGTTAGGGTCGATTGTCTACTCTCCATCGACTTTAAACATTATATTATGAGACTATTAAAAAACAGACAGGCTGAAAGTTGCAGCATTCACTTCCACGTTATTCCGCTTAAGTTTTATTATTAGGACGTGAAAGCAAAAATATTTACCCGAATAAACAAACGATAGAGCAACTAACTGCCAGCCTGATAAATAATTACTATTTGGGCAAAGATGTAAACTGGAAGTATATTTATTTAAGTTTATACGATTATTGGAAAATCCACATGCGATTGTTTATTTTTCATCGCATCGAAACATTCGAATACACGCTATGCTTCTGTCCTGTTAAAAGAAGAGGGTTAAATTGAATAAAGGAACAGAGTGTGTTTATATTGTTCGGTTCCTCGAAGTGTTGGAGTTGGATGAAAGTTGTGTCATTTGATCATTATTTAAATGCTTTTCTTCACATGCTTAATTTCTCACTTCACAACGCAAAATATTGATAAAGACAAAAAGCGAGCAACAAAATGTTGGCACGCTTTCACATTTTTTAGAACAAATTATTTTGTTATGAGAGTTATATGAACAAATTATTATATCGATTTCGTCAGCCCTAATTAATAAATCATGGTTTATGGTTAAAGCCGCGCCTGCTAAAACCGTATGAACGAATCGGGCAATTGCCGTGCGTATTGATTGATTAAGTGCAAATGTGTTCAAGCCGTTAATTAAGATTGGAAAATGAGGTAAAGCCGCCAATAAAAATTGCCTTAAAACTTGTTGAAACTGTTTATAACTGGAGCATATCAAATCTGGCGACTAACCATCATCGCCCTTTACTGTTTCCAAATATTTGATTTTTATTCGAAAATTAATTAGCAAATTCCGAACGGAAATCGTGTTTATTTGAAGAAAAAGCATGCGTTCGCCCACGGTTCGTTTACGTTCACGATGAAATTTGTTGAAATTCTGGTGTATAATAAATGACAGTTTATGCGAAAATCCGTATTTTAGAGGCTGAGAACTGTTTAAATCGAACCATCTAATAATGTTTTCAACGGGATATTTTTCCTTCGCGGTAAAGTTAATAAACAAACGATAAAAATCAGCGAAGAGAGCTGAAGATGTTTGTATATGCCGTTAGATTGAGACTGACATTTAACAGCCTCTAAACGTGTAAACACACAAATTGCTATGCACTATATTGTGTGTTTATTGGTTGTTCTATACGATGTTTAGAGGCTACTTTATCATTTAGATTGATTCCTCGAATACAATCGAGCAAAAAAAAATTCATAAAAGCCTACTACAGATTGCTGATTATTCACTGCTTACCTACCGTTCAAGTGCACTAAATTACCCCTTCTAACAAGCCAAACTGCAGCAATTCAAAAATATTTACTTACTTGGTCGGGTGGCGAATGGCTTAATAGGTTGCATGCTATATACAGAATCGTTGCGTGAGACATTGTAAGAATGGCTGCTGAAGAAACCCGGTATTCCAGACAGCATATCTGATTGGCACCCACCAGCAGAATTCAATCTGCTAATATGAAAAAAGCGTTAAAATCGTCAAAGAAAAATGTTCAAAAGTGAAACATCGCAGTGGATAAATACATGAAAATTAGGCATGGGTAACACTGTGTTGAGTGGGGCTTTGAGTTGTATGCGATAATGAGTTATAACTGCGCCGCACTTTGATTTACCTGAGATTTAGTCG